GGGATTCCTTTGACCTAGGACATGTCAATGATTTCTTTCTGGTCCTTTTTGTCTCTTTAGGACTGAAGGGGGCCTCAAGTACTTCCCCCCTGCACTTCTCTCTGCTCCATAGATGGGCCTGCTTCCCTGGAGCCCTTACATCCATTCGCCTCTCATCTTGCACTCGTCCTAGCTGCTGATGGTCCCAGCTCTTCTCACCCACCAGCCTCCCTGAATGACATGGTCCTGCCCCAGTTCGATGATTCTCTTTCTCTCCGAAGGATCCATTCAGGCCCTCTTCCTGGCCCTTCTCTGGACTGACTTTGGAGACCCAGCACTGGAATGCCGTCATTCTTCCCTCTGGACCTCCCCCTGCTCCAGTGTCCATTGCTCCCACCCAATACCCCAACCCTTCCCGCAGCCCTCCCTCCCTCAGGTTTGCCCTGGGGGCTGCATGGAAACACTCTCTTCTTCAATGGGCTCCAGCAGGTCTCAGGTTTTCATGCCAGTTGGACCCTTCAGCAGGCCTCAGAGGGAAGTAAAGAGATGAGCAATGAGAAACTCTAGTTAGAGGCCAGAGGCCTTGGCATGCAGACAGGGTGCCTTGGGGGCATTGGGGTGGCGGGTTGGTGCTCTGGTGGGGGGGCGTGTAGCATTAGAGAAGGGGAGGAATCTCAGCCCCGCGTTTGGCCTGGTTAAAGGAGAGGCAAAGGAGAAGGGCACTAAGCACTCTGTCACTTCTCTCACCTCACTGTGTCTTCTAACACTCCCCCCAACTCATGGCTCCCCAACTTACTCTGTCCCCCTCACCAGCTAGTTCAAGCTTGAGCTCAGGAAGTGGGGGGTGATGGGCCTGAGGTGGCTCTACACCCTCCCGGAAGCAAAAGCCAGGCAGAAGTGCTTTTGCCAAGAATCATAGAATAGCAGAGCTAAAAGGAACCTTGCAGGTCACTTAGTTCTGCCTCCTTCTGCAAACTCCTGCACAGACAGAGGCCTAGAGAGGGACAGTGACCTGCTGAGGGTCACTGTGGAGCCTGAATGAGGACCTAGGGCTCCCAACTCCTACTTGATGATGCCCTCTTCACTCTTGATGTCTTTTCAAAACCAATTAAGTGCCTTTTCTTGGGGTTGGGGCTGGGGGCAGCTGGGAGGGGAGAGGAGAGCAGACTGTGAGCTGCCCCGTGATGGCAGTGGCGTGGAGACAGAGCTATTGAGAAATTCCTTAACTGGCCATCAGACCCCATGCCTTCAGCACTCTCAGACCCCTGGTATTTTCATAGGGGCAGCTCAAGCACCCAGATGAGATGACCACTCCCACCCCAGCCCTAGTTTTCAGGAGCTGGGAGGTGCCTTAAGTAATTGGATCAATAGCCTTCCCTTCATGTTGACTGAACCTTCTTTCCCAGTGGCCTTCCCTTCCTGGGAGGGGGAAGGGGAGAAGAAGGGA